TATATATATATATATATATATATATATATATATATGTGTGTGTGTGTGTGTGTGTGTGTGTGTGTATACATACATACACATACATATATACACATACATACATACATACACACACACACACAAAAAAAAAACAGTATTTAAGATTATTATTTTCTTAAATAGGATCCATTCAGTTATAACAGGTCATTAAAAAAACTGTTATCATGTAAGATGGCTGAGAATTCTATGGATCAAATTTTTGGTACCTAAAATTAGTTTCTTCCATTTAAGTACAGTATTTTTAATACCAATCTAAATTATTTAATAAAAAGCACTGTCTTTCTCACCACCAAATTGTTTGTGCATTTATACCTGTGATGGTGAACCTCTGACACATGTGCTGGAAGTGGCACGCAGAGCCATCTCTCCGGACACACCAGCCAGAACCCGTTGCTCTTCCAGGTTCCTGCAAGTGCCTGCCAGCTGGTCTTCATGCATGCATGCGTGCCAGAAAACAGAAGATCAGGTGACTGGCATGTATGTGCATGCTGGAAACTGGAAGCTCAGCTTCCCAGTGTGCGCAAGCACGCTAATGAATTACTATTATGGTTTCCAACACTCCCCACATGTGTGCCGGAGAACTGTTTTGATTTCCAGTGCTCCCCACATGCGCTCCCGTTTCGGCACTCAGTGCGGAAAAGGTTCGTCAACACTGACACGTACTATAGTTTCCTTGTGTCATTATGAATCTCTCTCATCTAGCAGCTAGCCTCAAAGTATTCACATGACAGAAGGAAGTTGGTGGATGTGCTCACTTCATTTCTGCCAACATATGGAACTGCTAGGACAAACAACTAAAAATGTTTTTTCCTTCCAGATGACATGAATATAATTTTAGTAATGGATCTGCTTCTAAAATACCAAAACGATCCTTCAGAGAGTTGCTATTGGAGTCCAATAATGCTTTAATGAGATCTCCTTTTTGTAAGTGAAAATTCTAATTCAAGAATCCTATGTGTTCTCAAATGGGTTCACTTAAGGTGTGGATGAGGAATTGGAATCTGCCCCAAACCTACTGAATATTAATGTCAGAAATGAAATTTCAACATCTGAAAAGCAAAAGTTTATGCAGGAGGTGGAAGAATTGGGTTTAAGAATGAACTATTTTTAAACACTGATTTTAGTTCTTTTGAATATTTACTTTAGACATTTCCTTTATTTAGAAAATTTCTGGTTGAGGAAGCTTTTTTATATCTGGAGTTCTCACAATAGGTCTTGTCAAATAAGTTCTATCCCATTGATGCAATTCATACGCCTTCTGCAAACATATCTATTTTGAATATGAATGCTTGCAGATATGCTTTCATGTAGTTGGTTCTCTAGTGACGCAGCACCTTTTATTTTCAGCAATTTTGCTTAGTTTCTTGGTTAAACAAGGTTCCATTTCAGAAATATTGTGTTGTATCATGCACTATGCCAATGCACAAATATAGTAGGTACCATTTTGTGCTTGTGCAATGGACAAAATGGCAGCTGCTGTTCTGGCAACTCTGTCAAGATAAAATTTATTTAAGTCAATACTTACTTAATGGATATTTCCCATACCAATACAAGAACCAATACAATTTTTCTACTCAACACATTCATGGTCTATACACACATTTTTGCATATAATTTTAATATAAATATTTCAGAATATTTTTAAATGACAAGCAAAGAAAACATGTCAATCATTTTGACATTATACAATGCTACCGTTCATTGATAACTTTAGTCAAATATTGTTACTAAAACAGAAAGTATATATAATTAATAAACAGTCCCTGAAAATCTCCATAAGCTTAGTTTGGTGTTAAAATTCATCCTCTGTTTCTGTATCCCACTCACAAGCTTCAAGCTCCTTCTCTTGTGGAAATTCCACCTCTACATTGTAGATAAAATCTGGGTCCTCTTTTCGTTTTCTGTTCTTTTCAAACAATTCATCCATAATTCTTTTCTTTTGGGCTAGCTCTTCATCGTTCAGTTTATTTAGGTCCTCTTCTGGATCCACTGTTTCATTCTGCTCAACTTGTTTCAAACTCTGGCTCAGAGTTTGTCCTTGCAGGTGGCATCTCAACAAATTGTGCAACTTTTTTAGCTGCTCCAAGGATACCCCTTCTAAATACGTTTTGTGCCGAGGATTATTCTTTAGCTGCTCTGCCGCTTTGCTGCAATCTGTATGAAAGGCCAAAATAATGATTATATTTTTTTTAAAAAAAGAAATTTTGGAAATGTGCATTAGAAAGGTTTTAAATAAAACAAACATGAAACTTATTTCTGTCTCACTACCGTTTGTGTTTATAAGATATAACACATCCCCATAGCTTAAAATCTACATTGATACAACATAAATTTGGTGGAATTCTGGAATTATTTCAATGTTTTGTATATACCCAATGTTTTGTAAAGCAAAGATGTCAAAATTGGGAACAAGCCTATGGGAAGTTGTTACAGCAACAGCCCTGCAGCTTTGAAAAGATATGACATGGCAAAACCTTGAGCAACAAATTCAGACAGTTGTTCCATGAAGCACCTTTTCAAATGGTTTCCAAACCTTTACAATTAATGCCCCAAATGTATTGAGAATAAGCTAGGTCAGTCCCAATGCTCTACAAATTTAAACAACTAATTTCCTCACCAACAAAAATGCGTATAGTCGAGGCTATGGTTTTCCCAGTTGCAATGTATGGCTGTGGACCATAAGAAAGGCCGAGTGCCAAAGAATTGAGGTCTTTGAACTATGATGCTGGAGAAGACTCCTGCGAGTCCCTTGGACTGCAAGGCGATCAAATTGGTCAGTCCTAGAGGAGATCAATCCTGAACTGCTCTTTAGAAGGCCTGATCCTGAAGATGAAACTTAAATACTTTGACCACCTAATGAGAAGGAAGGACTCACTGGCGAAGAGTCTAATGCTGGGAACTATTGAGGGGAAAAGAAGAATGGGATGACAGAGAATGAGGTGGCTGGATAGAATCACTGAAGCAGTGGTGTGAGCTTAAATGGACTCCAGAGGATGGTAGAAGACAGGAAGGCCTGGAGGAATGTTGTCCGTGAGGTCACGATGGGTTGAACACGGCTTCGCAACTAACAATTTCTTTTAGAAACGGGGTCATACTATGTACATTCATATTGTCTCAATATACCTGTCTCTTATAAATATAGATAATAAAATCAAATTTATAAAACGAAGTGAGCAAAGTATGGAGTCAATGAAACAATTCCATTCCTAAATAAATGCAGAAAAAATGGGCACTGAACACTCTACGTGCATGAGAAAATACCAGTGATAAATTTGAAATATATCCTATTGTACCTGAGAATTTGGTAAAATTCCTGAGAGGCATGATGCGCTGGCGCAGATTTTTCTTAAGCTGATCTTCATAGATCAAAACGATAGATGGAGGCTGTAACCGGATGCCACACTTTTTGGCAACATAAGACATCCCAGCTTCTGCTGTAAAGCTCAGCAGGGACAGATCCCAGCCATTTAGTTTTCTTCGGAGAAAACTATACTCGGGATAGGGCAGCGCTGCATTTAAAAGGAACACCGCGCGATTTTTGGCGGTTTACTGGATGCGTTCCGCGTAGCGTCGTTCGTCGGGAAGTTAAAGGGGCCAAGCCGGCAAGCAGACGGCTTCCCGCGGGGTGTGTGTGTTTTATCCAGCACTCCTCGAAGTTGCCATTTTTCTGCCGTATGGTCAGGTTATTAATTAAAAGTCCGGCCCGTTCTTTTCCGTAGTGACGAAGAAGGACGAGGCCAGGGGCGCGAGAAAGGAGAGAGTAGGGTAGGATGCCTCGCAGCGAGGAGAGGTTGCCGCCAGGCCAGCCAGATCCCCGCAGGACGCAGGGCGGTTGCCTACTCGAAAGAAGGCGCTGTTCAAGGCGGATGAAAGCAGCGCTTTCCACTCTTGACTTGGTAGACTCGCCGATCCTGTCGTGGCTCAGCCCGTCTTCCGCTACAGCCGCTCCTGCGGATTGAAATCTCTCGCTCTCCTCTCTTGAAACCGCTTAGGAATGCGGGGCTCCCCGTAAAGAGACGCCGAGAGTGGAGCGCCTCCTCCTCCGCCCCCGCACCAAGAATCGCCGCTGGGAGGAGCAAATGGCGACCATTTGGTCGCGGCAGGAATTCGTTTGCAGGTGCTTGGAGGCGCACAGCGTTCATTTTCATGTTACGCGTTTGGGCGGAGGAGTCCGACTTTGAGACTCGAGTCGCTAACCTTTTAGGAGCCCAAATGATAGTGGTTTCCGGGTACTTTAATGCGGATCACCTAAATCAGGGGTCCCCAAACTTGGCAATTTTAAGACGTGCACTTCAACTCCCAGAATTCTCCAGCAAGCAGAGCTGGCTGGAGAATTCTGGGAGTTGAAGTCCACAAGTCTTAAAGTTGCCAAGTTTGAAGACTTCTGACCTAAATGGTGTGAAAGCGCGTAGTTTTTAAACTCCAAATCTCAGACACAGAAGAGATTCTGTAATGTTCAAAAAGCTTGTATATCATTCGCAGTTTGTGCCCTTTGGGTTGGTCTTAATAGCGCTATCCAGCTCTGTGTGTGTGTGTGTGTGTATGTACATCTATATATATAAATAGATTGACATAATTGTAATTTGCATTGCATTCAACAGCTGGGTTAATTCAAAGTAGCAAAATCTGCTAGCCCTTAAAAGATGCATCGGTTATCTCATCCCACCGCAAATCGCTCTTCCTTTTCTCTCCCGTCGCTTAGAGTTAGAGCAATTTTCTCCGCTCATCACTTTAAATGCAGCAGGGCGTAGCTATCGCATGTGGTCCTCGGCATTGCTGTCTAAGAATTGGCCTGTATTAATGAAGGGAAACTTGCAAAGATTTGTGACGCCACCTGGATTCCTCTTTATAAGCCGCTTTTGCCTTTTTCAGTTCTCCGGGGGGATTAGCTGAGGAGCGGGAGACAAACATTACCGCAGAAATTATTTTATCTGCGGTATGTTTTTCAGTCTGGCGGAGGTGGGACAGTCCTAAGGAGAGGACTTGGTTGTAAACGGAAGGGAGAGCGCCTGTAAGAAGTAAGGGAGGGTTGGTCAGTAATGTCGAGGTTGCGTTATTCTTTTGTTGAAAAGGAAGCGGTAGGTAAAGTGCTTTCCCTCCACTGCCTCTTCCCTCACTTGTCGGAGGGACTAGAGAGCACAGGCTGATCTTAGACACGGCAGGTTAGTCGGGAATTGTGCAGACTAATAAATTAGGTGCCTATTTTGATACTGACTACTTGTGCCAATTATTCACTGTAGGTTTAGTCGCATTTCAGACTTTCCCCTGGTTAATGTCATGGATTAACAATTGACTTAGATCGCTTACTGAGCTATAAAGTTCGCATTTGATAGGTTCACACAGCAGCGTGCCTGGTATAGTGTTGCACAGGAAGACCAGATTCTAGTGGACTCTGTGCCATAGAAACTAAGTGACTTGGCCAGTCCGACCAGTTATTGTGAAATTTGGTGGCTTGCTTACAGATACTTCAGTGTCCAAATACATAACGTCAACGCTTGTCAGTGTGGAGTTTGTTCCTTCTTTATAAAGTCCCCTGCCCTGCCTGTTTGGTGGATATGTTCTGATCTTTTTAGTTTCCTTCTGTGTTGCGTCTTTTGAATGGTGTGAAAATTGGATGTCAATTTTGTCAAAAGACACATGAAAATTTCTTAATCTCAGACTCAGCCACTGGGAAATTGTGAGCATCTTAGGCCAAGCCAAATCCAAAAATGCTAGGATATTTCTGGAAGCTTGGCTTTCAGACAAATTGGCCATCAATAGACATCTCTGCTAGTATCCAGATAAGCAGGAATCAGTGCCAGATAAACATTCAAGCAGCAAACAATATCCTAATCAAGAAACCAGCAAGGAGAAAACCACACCCCCAACAACACTGTCAGGACAAGATATTACATACAAAAGGAGCAACTTCACACTGACTAGCACTGATGTTATCTGGTTGGGTAATAAAACATCTGCAGGCAAACAACCAAGCTCAGAGAGCACCAAGGACACTACAGTTCAACTCTGAGCTACGAATATTTTCTTCTATACCAATTATTGTCATAGGAAAAATAGGAGGAGCTGTTGAGATGCACATCTAGCTAAAACCCAATAAATGAAAGATAGTTGCCTAGTTTGTGCTTCATATCACATGAACTCAGTTTTTCTTAAAGAGTTCCCTCAGTATTAATAAATGTCCTTATTTTTATAACTGCAGCTTTTTGGATTCTCAAATAGGAACTTTTCTGCTGAGCAATAACAGTATAGTTTCAGAGTGATTATTTAATGTGCATATAAATACTTGGGAAAATAATATATGGAAGGATGTATAGTCATTCTTTCTTCGGAAAATATGTACTAGTAAAAGCTCACCTTGAGTTGAGTTTGCCTTCTGATAATATGGACATATTTATGTTGTTTTGGCAGCAATATTTATTAAGCAGATTTATATGACCACTCAACTCACACATGATGACTATGTATAAATGAGTTATCATTGCCTTTTGCTCTGGTATTACCCACACATTTGATTTTTCAAATACAATCAATGTTGATTAGACACAACCAACTTTTATGACAAATCTATTTTATTGATAAAAATGTCCTTAGCAGACATTTTTAGGTTAATTAGGTTAATAGGTTAATTTTCTATAAAGAAACTTTTGATTTCAGTGAATTTTATACTGCTCAAACATTAGAATTATACCAGATTTTTGAGATATGAGTCAAAGTCTCCAAATTCAAAAGCATTTCTTTTACTGCATATATACAAATAAAGAGCACATGATTGTGATGTATTTATACATAAGAAATGATTTCATACAGTGTGAGATGCCATAAATGTATGTATGATGAGATGCACACAAGCAGTTTATAACTTTAAAATCTTATCACCAGAGTGCCTGTACTGGACATTTTTGAAGTTTTATAAGGCCAGTGGACAAGAAGAGCTATAGAGTTTAAAAACTTACCTTACACGGAAGTAATTCTTATTGTCACTTGTATAGTTATGTAACAAAATAATCTGTGCTATAAAAATTTTCTGTACATTTGTTATAATGTGATTTCTTTTGTCTTGCAGGTTTAATTTGAAATGTACCAGTAGAAGAAAAATGTGTTCTTTTAATTGGAATATTCTCTCCTTTGTGAAATTGCTTAGTCTATGTATAATGCCTGAATTTTTATGTAAGTTACAATTTGAATAAGCATAGCTATCACAACAATGGGGACCTCTAAGTACTGTGTTTCTCTGAAAATAAGACAGGGTCTTATTTTCTTTTGATTCCTGAAATAAGCGCTTGGTCTTATTTTCGGGCAGGTCTTATTATTTTTGAGGTACAGGAGGCGGCGAGCGTGTCACCTCATGGCTGCTGCTGTGTTGCAATATTTTCGGGAAGGGCTTATTTTGTGGGGGGAGAGCTTATTTGAGCACATTCACTCAGAAGCCCGATTGGGCTTTTTATGCGGGGAGGTCCTATTTTTGGGGAAACAGGGTATGTGTCCAGTTTTGTGGCAGTCCCAGGCTTGCTAGCAAACTAGGTCTTGAGGGCCTTCTACAATATCAAAAGGAAGAACAAAGCTTTTCTTCTTGTGGGAAGCATGTGGCAATGAAGCCAGAAAACGTCTAATTTATATTGGAAATTAGGGCTGCTGGAAATTTGGAGACAATATATTTTTGCATTCTACAGTAGGCTGGACTAAAACAGTTTGCAACCACTAAGTTAAAGGACTGTTGTCTGTCATGACTTCATTAAAGAAGTATTTTTATATTATCACAATATCAATAATTTCATTTATGTTCTAGATTAAGGACATAAGAATTTTGAAAGTGTTACAATTCTGTATTATGCTGTTTACAAATGATCATCTATTGTTGAAAACAGTAAAGACTTTTCTGGTTTTCGCTTCTGGTTTTAATAGATGCATTGAACACATGTCCTGAGATCATGCAACAGTTTTTGAAAGATGGCTTTCACAGGTGAGTTATGATAATTAAATATTGATCAGTATCTTTTAACAGTGTTTCAATAAGGTTTGAATCCATCACCTTTGCATTTTTCTAATTATATCTGATAAGGAAATACATTTTTATTCAATTTTTTTAGATGGGGCACACAATTTACTTGGCAATTCAAGCAGCTTTTACATGATTGGGAACAGTTTCTTTGAATTAATCTTTAATATTTTAACGCTACGAATACCATTACATTTTATGTAGTAGTTACAGTAAAGCAATGTAAAAAATTTTAGGCTGCAAAAATCTCTGTTTTAGGTCCAGTCATTTACATTAAATTTTGTGATGCGAGTTTAGACAATAAGTATTGCTTAAGCATTATTATGAAGAAATGAGTTCAATAAATTACAGTGAGACTTAGTGTTATCTCTAAATTATCAAATTTATATGCCACCCATCTAGCCAAAGGTGACTTGAGGCTTCTTACATTAAAAAAATAAATAGGAAAATAGGAAAAAAAACCACCTGCTGATTAAATTTACAATTCAGATTTACAATATTTCAAACTTCTTTACACAGAGATATATAACTGGTATGTTTGGAGATGCTTTGTATTCTCTGCAAGTCTAATAACATCCCTTTTCTTTGTTTTCTTCTTTATGGTAGAGATCTCTTAATTAGGGTACATTTTGGTGTAGCTGATGAAGGCCTTGAAAGTTGCAGGCTGGCAATTAGAGTACATCTTCCAAGAGGATTATATGTTGATCCCTATGAATTGAAATCTTTACAACAGCATAATATCACTGAGGTATGATTTTTGGGTGATATCAAGATCAATTTTGCATTGGATACAGCACAAAAGAATTACCAATAAATAACAATATGTAATATTTCTGGAAATGTTGAAAGGAAGAACAAAATGTTATTTTTTATACTTTTTTATGAAGTTTTGAGAAAAAATTAAATCAATTTTCAGCACTTACTTTCTACGTTCTTTTTTTTAATGCATAAAAATATTTTATTTTATTTTGCGGCTCCTATACCCATCATATTGATCAACAATGTAGCACATAGGACTTTATCAGAAAAACATCAGATTAGGAAGAATTTAATTATAAATCTAAAAATATACTGAAAGTAAACTTCCAAGTAAAAAACAATATAGTTAAATGGGCATTTTAAAATTACTTTTAATCATTTTAAAAAAAGAAAAAAGCAAGCAAAACAAAATAAGTGATACAAAAATGTAATGTCAAGTGGGCAAATAATGTATAGATGTACAATTAGCACTATGTATATCACTGATGAAAAATTAACTAAAGAAAATGAATTTCCTTTAAAGTTATTTTTAGTAAGAAAAAGAATTTTAAAGGTCTTTTTCACTCTCTGGACCAACTATACAGGTTCCACAACCGGTAATTTGTTAATTTCATAAAAAAAGAGAGAGAACAAAAATTATCTAAGAAAGGCAACAGACAAGAAATAAATCAAATTAAAGAAATTAAGAGATCTTAAAAGATGTAAAAACTGTTTTGGTTAGGATAAAATGCATCAATTAAGATTAATGCATTATCCAACATAAACTACGTTTCAAATGATGCCAATTCTGATCCCAGAAAAAACTTTATAAAAATGGCAAACTGTCAATTTATATGAATGGAAAGAACTTAAGAATAAAATTCAAACTTTAACAAGACTCAAAACAAAGATGCTATCTCTTTCAAACTTCAAACTTTATTAGAGGGCAAACTCTAATGGCTAATATAATGGATTAAATCCTCAAACAGAACATTAATACTGTATAGGAAGTTGCTGATTTAGCTAATGAGCTTCATAGATAACCATGTTACACAATTACTGGGATACAAAAAAGGAGAAAAACTGAAAAGGACAGGTATAAAATGGAACTTGATAAAAGTACAACCTTAGGAGAAAAACAGCCTTAGGCATGACCCCAGTTGTGGGACTTTGGGCCAGTCACTTTCATCTTAGGAAGGAGACAATGGCAAACCACTTTTGAAAAATTTTGCCAAGAAAACTGCAGGGACTAGTCCAGGCAGCCAATAATTGAGTTGAAGGCATCAAAGAAATAGTTACATAATATGACAGAACAAATAAAAATTTGAATTATAAAACAGATGCAAAATTTCAAAGAAACAATCACAATGCAACAATGGGAAGAACTATAGAACAAATATGTAAAATTACCTCTTATTATAATTTAAAAGAAAACTGGTGTGAAGTGTTTTATAAATTGCATAAAACTTCATTAATTGCCAAGATAAACAAATTATATTATAATTAATACTGGAAATGCTATGAGACAAGGAACATTTTACCATACACGATAGACATGTACAGAACCTCAAAACACTAGAAATAAATACATAGTACTATTCAGGAAATTTTAGAAATCAAACTTGAATTAACACCTCCCCCCCTTTTAACTACGAGTAAACATAATTCCAAGATACTAAAAAAAGGGGGGGGGGATTGGTGGTTACAATTTACTGAGATACACATTCATGCTGCAAGGATAAACTTAACAAAAATACTAGAAAAGAGATATATTACCAATGGTATAAGGCTGGGAATTTAACCTCAGAGAATAGGCAGTAATGGCAAAATTAACAGCATATACCAGTATTCATAACAGACGCTTGACCGAATTTATAAGGGAATGGCTTCCATATGTATCACATTTTACACAGCACAGCTAATTTAAGCATTTAGAGTATGGTTTTTAAGGGGAAACAGAATTGACCAAAAACTGAAATCAGAAATGCATGCAATTAATGTCTGAAAGATCTATATTCTGACTCTTTTGAAAAGAAAAAAAAACCATTTAAAAAGTGGTATAGTACTCATTTCTTAATAGTAGTAATTCCTGTCTGGTATTATTGGAACTGGGATTAAGGCATTGGGCAGTAGTGATTCTCAAATAGCCCCTTCATTTTCTATGCCTAAAGACTGTGAAAGTACTTTCAAAGTTATACTTTGTCATTTTAATAATGACTTGGAGTTGGAATTTAAAATCAAGTCCATGCCAGCTACCGTTACTATAAGGATTTGCAGTAATTCAGCAATTGGATGCAATCCTTGTATCAATTTTACTGATTTTATTGCTTATAACAAAAACCCATCACAAATATTAAGTAGATAGTCCTTGACTTACAACAGTTCTTTTAGTGACTGTTCAAGTTACAATGGCAATGAAAAAGAGACTTATGACTGTTTTTCACACGACTGTAGCAGAATCTCCATGATCACATGATCAAAATTCAGACCTTGGCAACTGACTCACATTTATGACAGTTGCTGAGGTCCTGGGGTCATGTGATTACATTTTGCAATCTTCTGATCAGCAAAGTCTGTTCAAAGTTACAAAGGCACTGAAACAAGTGTCTTATGACCATTTTTCACACAGCAACATCGCCATACTCAGTTGATCAGAATTTGGGCACTTGGCAATTCTTCTATTTATGACTACATGTGATCAACATCTACCTTCCATCTATCAGGTACCTTCCAGCAGCCAAAGTGAATGGGGAAAGCCAGACTTGCTTAATGATTGCATGATTCACTTAACAATTGGATTGATTCACTTAACTGTGGCAAAAAAGGTCCTAAAAAAGGGACAAAATTCAACTGCCTTGCTTAGCAGTGGAAATTTTGGGCTCAGTAGTGGATCATAATTTGAAGACTACTTGTATAGGAATAATAGGGTTAACTTTGAGAGTTTTCAGTAAGATGGTACCATTTCCTAAATAGGATTCTAATATAAATTAGATATTATTATTAAAAATTATGTCATTTTCATTATACACCTTTTGTTTTTCCATAGGCATTGGTGATTGCAGATGAAGTAGATTTGGAAGTTCCTGAGTATTTAGCAACTGATTCTTCTGTCCTTGTTTACATGAGACCTGATCCCAAGTGCACTACCTGTTTTAAAGCATTATTACCACTGCACTGCCGGTATTACCGACCCTCAGAAAGTAATGGAAAAGTCCCTGTTGTTTTGCAGAATCCAGAAATAATGATTCATTGCCAAAAATGTACGTGATTATTACTGAAAAGGATTGTAAAAGTGGCAGTGTTGACTCAAAAAAACCTGGGGGGAAACTGTTACATACTAAAGGAAGCATTAGGGAGAGACCTTCATAAAGTAATGAAGTATAAGTATGAGTATGAGTAGTTTATTTATATGCCGCCCTTTTCCCTGGGGGGACTCAGGGCGGCTTACAATTCGAAAG